GATTTCTTTAAAAGAAAATCTCGAGAATCTTGGCTCTCTAAAGGTGACCTGGGGACTAGATTCTTCCATCAAGCTGTAAGGATCCGGACTGCAAAAACTGCAATAAGGAAGATTATACTAGATTCTGGGGTTGTAGTGACTGATGTTGATGAAATTGCAGCTGAGGGTATCCAATTTTATAAGGGACTGTTTGGTGTTGTTAATGAGAAGGTTTCTGCTAACGAGGAGAGGATATGTGATGTAATCAAGAAGCATTTGGCTGAGGCTGAACATAGCATGTCGGTCAGTCCATTCACAGAAGAAGATGGGCGTGAATCAGTTTTTAGTATGGATATACACAGAGCTCCAGGTCCTGATGGATTTTCAATAAGTTTCTTCCAGAAAACTTGGCATATTGTGGGTAGAGATGTGACTAGTGCTATCTTGGAGTTCTTTCAGACAAAAAGAATGATCAGTGGGATTAATTCTACAACGGTTTCTCTTTGTCCAAAGGTACCCAATGCTACTCATCTTAAAGATTTTAGGCCTATTTCCTGTGTGAATGTAGTCTATAAGATAGTTGCAAAGATGCTGTCAAAGAGAATTAGAGAAATTCTGCCTACAATAATTAGTCCAAATCAGACTGCATTTATAAAAGGGCGTAGAATTATGGATAACATTATGATGGCACAAGAACTTGTTAATGGGTATCATAGGAGAATGTTATCTTCTTGTTGTGCGATAAAAGTAGATCTTATGAAGGCATTTGATTCGGTGAGCTGGGATTATTTGTTCAAAGATATGAAGGCAATGGGATTTCCAATAGAATTCCTAAGCTAGATTAAAGCTTGTTTGCAAACAACTCATTTTAGTTTGAACATAAATGGAGGGTTATGTGGGTTCTTTAAGCCTGCCAAGGGAGTGAGGCAGGGAGACCCGATCTCCCCATATATGTTTGCCAATGCGGTGGAAGGTTTAACAGGCTTATTGAATGAGGCTACTAAGGCAGGAAGACTTCCATATCATCCTAGATGTAAGCAGGTGGCAATGAGTCATCTGTGCTTTGCAGATGACTTATTGATTTTCACAGAGGGGTCAGGGCAAGAAATTAACAGTGTTAAACAAATTATGTAGGACTTCTACTTACTGTCTAGATTGCATTGTAACCCAAGTAAGCGTGAGATCTATTTGGGGGGGGGGGGGGGAGTCCTATAAATACAAGGAGATTGCTATTAATCTCACTGGGTTTAAAGAAGGAACTCTCTCAGTGTGATATCTAGGCCTACCTCTACACTCAAGGAAGCTCACATATAGGGAATATGATCTCCTAATTGGTAGAATCACAAAGAAAGTCACGTCCGGGAGATCAAAGAAATTGACTTATGTAGGGCGGTTACAACTGGTTTCTTCAGTGTTGATGAGTGTGGTCCAGTACTGGCTGCAGATTATAATTTTGCCAAAGAAGATTTTAAAGAGAATTCAAAAGGTGCGCCAAGACTTTTTATGGGATGGTGAGAAAACAGGAAGGGCAAAAGTAGCGTGGAATCACATTGCACTCCCCAAAGCTGGAGGCGGTCTAGAGCTGCGAGATTTGAACTCTTGGAATCAGGCTTTCTCTTTAAGGCTTTTGGGGCTTATGTTGATGCAATCGGGTGCTTTGTGGGTTGCCTGGGTGAAAGCATATCGCTGCAAGGGGGAGGATGTGTGGCAATTAAAAGTTAACTCCAGCAACTCTTGGGCGTGGAGGAAGGTGTTGCGACTTCATCCTAAAGTGCAACATCTTCCCGTGAAACAGGGAGATAGCGTTTTTTGGGAGGGACATCCTATGGATCAGTACTCAGCAAAGCATGTATGGAACACACTCCGGCCTAAATGCAGCAAGCAACCTTGGAATAAGTTGATATGGGAAACACAGTATCCCTAGATATAGTTTCATTGCTTGGCTTATAATGATGAATGCCTTGACGACTCGAAGCAAATTGCTTAAATGGGGAAGAATTGGTGATGACAGATGTTTACTTTGTGGATTGGGAAGTGAGGACAGGGAACACTTGTTCTTTGAATGTATATTTGTGCAGCAGCTTGTGCAGGTTGCTGGTGTTGCCCAATGGTTTGCAGAGCCCTGGGATAGAACGTTGAGATCGGCAAGTGATTTGGCTAAGAAACATACGCCAGCAGGAAGAGCAGTTTGCGTTCGATGGTGTGGAATGTCTGTAGCAATATGGAGAGAAAGGTGCCGCATAATCCATGGTGAAAGCTCCAGGAACGTTGAGGATGTCTGGAAATGTCTAAAATTTGACTTGAGTTGTAGGTTAAGTGGTGATTTATCATTATCTTCTGATTTTGAGAGTATAGGTTTACTTGATCGATTTCATAGTTGATCTGATTTTGTTTACAGAATAGATAGTGGAGAGTGTTGAAGATTAGCTATTTTATTTTCCAGGGGAGGCTGGAATGGTCTCTCCCTTTCGTTGTAACGATTCAGCATCATGTTTTGCGGTGTCTTCTCAATGAAGAGGTTCTGATTCAACGGGAAAAAAAAGAAGAAGAAAATAACCAAGTTTTAAATAAACTATAAAATCTACAACATTCAGTAAAAAATGTAGAAAAGAAAATATGACTATATGAAGAGAATTAGAATTTTTGAATTTAACTAATATGGAACATCTACAATATAATATTAGGGTATTAAATGAAGATTTAAAATGAAAAATTAGACAACCTCAGCATGTAAAAGAACTAAATATAACATCCTCATATTATTTATATCGAGATAGAATTTATAAGATATATTTGCTTCAGGGAAGTATTCAATTCTTAGAACATATAATGATAATTGATTCTAAATTTCCTATTCAAAAATTGGCCTGGTATTAGTCTTCAAAAGAGCATTCCAACTAAATAGAATTCATAGGATATATTTATTTTAGGGAATAATTCAATTACTAGAACACATAATGATAATTGAAAATACTTATAATGATAATAGATTCTGAATTTTCTATGCAAAAATTGATTTGGTATCAAGTATTCAAAAGACGATTCCAACTAAACAATAAAAAATGATGTTTTTCATAAGTCCAAATGATTGTGTTACAATAAAAAAGTAGAAGGACCAATTATGAAATTTAGAAAACGGAATATGCCAATAATATTCTGTCAACTTTAACGGAATGCACTAAGCATTAAACTTAAGTGGTACCGGTATAATAGAGTTTAGTGGTACACGATGCCCTATTCTTAGTTAAGTGGTATAGCTCCCCTAATTCTCATACTTTAGTGGTATCCGAGATATTGTACCTTATTTTTTTTTATCTTTGGTATGTTTCCAAACGCTAGCTTGCACTTGTTGTCTTGTAGTGCAAGCTTTGCATATTTAAACCCAAGTATGAATGAGAAACACCCAAGGGTTCTAGGATTTCATTTTCCACAACTAAGCGGCAACATCACCTATCCACATTGAAGACTTGGAAGGAATGTGAGCTAGTAACGAAGCTGCAACATATCCCCTGGTAAAGCTTTTCAAAAGATGTTTGGAAAGTTAGCTTGCAAGATGTAGCAGCTTCACCATTTGAAGATTGAAGGGAAGTTAGCTAGCCAAAGAGCAGCAACATTCTCAAGTTAAAACTGTACTCTTTCCAAACTTGGTGTGCACATTCTGTGCTCACCCGCTTGCGGGGGTAACATGAGATATTGAAAGATCGTCAAGACTCAAACCGGCGATTATGAATGTCAAAGTGGATTAACAAGGTTTAGAGGAATTATCATCGTCATCAAGTTTAGTTGTATTGTCAATGTCATGTTTTATCTTTGTTATGTTTCCAAATGCTAGCTAGGACATGTTGTCTTGTAGTGCAAAGCTTTGCCTATTTAAACCTAAGTATGAATGAAAAACACTCAAGGGTTCTAGGATTTCATTTTCCACAACTTAACTTTGTTGTTATTAAACGTATGGATATGTTTATACATGAGGGTGCATGTATGGATATATGAAGTGATTACAACATAAGGGTAATTGATCTCGATTCTCGGGTTATAGTCATCACGAGTCAGAATATGTTTGGGTTGGCTAATTTAGGGTTAAATATTGACACGATCCAAAACTTTCGGGTAAGGTTTCAGGTCATTTCAAGTTACGAGCGTTCTCACAAACAAGAATAAACATGCTTCATATTTTTCTAAATAACACAAATTTTCATATATGTGTGCCAATAGTGTCTAACAAATTTCAATTCAAAATATTCTCAAATCCTCACATGCTAATGAAAGGAAATACTAATTGCACAAATCGCCAAAAAAACGTCATGAGAGTGATAGACTAATACCACTACCAGGAGCACGTGATCTTTGATTATCCCAACTCTACAAACTTGTATTTCGTATTTTTGTGAATTTCATTAACCATCTCAGCATAATGAATGATTTTATCATTTGGAGTGTGTAGATATGATATGGAACGGGATAAATGGGTTGACTTGCTGACCTACCCAGCCCAAGAAATTGAGGGTTAATTGAGTTCAGGTTATTCGGGTTTTGAGTTAGAAAAGCTTTCACCCATTTTTAATTTCTTGGACGGGTTCGAATCGGGTTAACGGATCAAATCGTAATTTTCCAGGTATAGAAATGGGAGAATTGTTCATGAAGGAAGAAGGTTTGGGAAAGGAAAAGGTTTCGTAGTACAAGTCGAGTGAGGTGAGAAGCATATCAGATCAAAGTTTTTCTTTTGTTTTTTTTCAATTTAGATGTAAATAATAGATATTAGAAAAATATTTGATTTTTTTATATGTTTCGTATGATGACATGAGAATGATATGACATGTTGATAGTTAGTCAACAGTGTTTACTGTCTACTTGATGATCAATTTAAGGATTGGATCAAATTAGTCTGCGTAGTAAATAGTTTAGACCATAATGGACATTTCAAAAAATTCAAGTTGAATTGATCCACTAATGTAAAGTTCAAACCAATTTAATGTATTAACCAGGATGATATTTCCCTCCCTATCCCACCATGGATTTTGGCATTTATGATGCCTTTATTCATTGAAGAAAAGTTGGTTTATTTAAGTTAGTTTATTTTATAGCTGGATTGAAGTGTTATATATCACCAATGCTTTCAATCAAAATTCAATTATGCCTCCAAATTATATTTACTCCATCATACCTACACTTAAGGTCAAACTTTCATTTCATGAATTCTTGGTTCTTGAGCATACAGTGAAGTTGAGCTCGAAATATATTACATGATCTTTGAGGCCCATATATTTTTGTTGGATAATCGCGCACACACTAACTAAAACCTGCTTTGGCTTCTGATCGAGATCGCTCCACTTACAGTACAAACCGCCACCGCAGGAAAAGAATACCCAAAATGGAAGCAAATCTCGACCAGGGAAAAGCCTGTGAACAAAACGCGAGAAGCACACTCTACTGGTTATCCCTAACCAAAGTGTAGACATTGCTTGATATGGCAATGGCGCTTGTTATCACAGCCAGAACTATCATTACTGCTGCAAACATCCTGTCCCTCTTTGTTGATATCCCATAAACATCCCTGTCATTACCAAAACATAAGAAACACCATCAGACATTCAAGATTCAAAGGCATAAAGCTTGCATTTCTTTAGTGGGGAAGTCACCTTAGCACAATCGAACCGGGGAAAATGAAGGCAAGGCAAACTGCAGAGGTTGATCCCATGAACTGAAAGAAATACCATATGTTTGGTATGGCAATCGCCAACAAGTAACTCAATAACAGCAAAGCGAACGTGATGGACAAGAATCTGGTAGTGTCTTTGGCCAGGAGGGGCTTCTTGGGGAAGAGGAACTCGTCGAGATTCGCCCTCAGCGAGAAGTTCAACAAGGGGAAAACCAGCATCAGGTGAAGAGCATAGCTCAGCCTCACGATGTCATTGAGCAACGCACCAGCTGCTGTATCCGAACTCTTATCAAAGTTCACAAGTATGTCTGCCATTATGGACTCACCAAACAGAAGGTATCCAAATATGCCGATTGCAAAGTAGATGGCTGCACAAAGGATCATCGAGATTCTGACGGCTGAAAGCATTGTTGATGGGTTTCCCAGCTCGAATCCAATGGGATGTACTGCAATCATTTCACCAACCATTTTGTTAGGGGGGGGGGGGGGGGGGGGGGGGGGGGGGGGGGGGGGGAAATACTGTTACAAGGGTAGTTTTTTGTATTAGGGGGAAAAGGGTTTCACTTGCCATTGAAGTGGAATGTGAAAGCTGTGACGATGACAGGGACAGCAGTGAAGAGCTCAAAGAAGGAGGAATTGCTGTCTACTTCAGGCAACAGTCTAGGGGTATTGGTTTTGCCTTGTATAAGTGCATAGACAGCCATCACAGAGGCTATGCCAACGAAGATCACTGCCAAGAGAACTGATACTGCTGAACTGAACTTCAATGACTCTGCAGAATACAAGAAACACAAAGCACCTCCAAATATTCAGGATCGAGCTACCAAGATCTTTGGAAGGAACATGAAAAGAATGGAATCAAAGATGAATAACCCACCAACCCGCTTGAACAGGACCAAAGGAAGCATCACAAGAATCACAACCAGAAAGAGTGCAAAAGCTCGAGTATTCCACCATGAAACCCCAAACCACTCTTGCAATACTCCCAAATGCTGCTCCGTCCCCGACAGCACATCCCCTGAAGAAACAACCAGAAATTAAATTTCCCCCCAAATCCTCAATCAACTCGTAAAATGCATTCTTCCAAGTTGAATTGAAAACCCTTTTGTTTACTTCTTCAATTAGTCAAAGGCTTTGATCTCGAGCTTACCGATGATGATCAAGTAAATGATCAAGCACCCAAGATTAGTAATCATGACACAAATCTGGACCGCGGCGGATCCAAACCCGCCAAAGGCCTCCCTCATGACCCCAGCATACGTCGTCGTCTCGCCGGAGTGCGTGTACCTCATGAGGAACTCGACGGAGACGTCGGCCAGCCAGGCGATGGCGACAATCATCAGGAACGCCGGTACCACCCCGAGCACTTTGAGTGTCGCCGGAATGGACATGATTCCCGCTCCGATTATGCTGGTGGACACATTGAACACCGCGCCGGTGACCGAACCGTGCCTCCCTGCTCGCTTCTCGTGCTCTGGAAGTAGCGGAGCATTCGCTCCGGCCGCCGGCGACATAGTGGGAGAAACCTTTTTTAACTTTTTCTCTGCCGGCTAGCTGCTGGCTGGTGCTATGAGTAACTAAAAGCTGGGAGTCTATGGAGCTAATAATTGAGTCTGAAAAGTTCTGGTAATGTGGGGGACGATAGCTAAAGGGCGAGAAGGCCACTGTTGGGATGGATTGGTGGGAAGAAGGAAGGAAGGATGAGCTGTAAAGATATGGAGGTCGGGAGGAGAATATTATTTACCGGATTTTAAAGGATGAATGTGGACAAAACAAAACGACAGCCAACATACGTGGAAATGATGAAATGAATATGGACGGAAATGCTGGCCACGTACCTACTACAGCAACGTGGAGAAATTTCACACGGCATCAGTTGGCCGCATAATTGAACTGGAAAGGCCAGTTCCGTCAAAGCAGAGATACGGATAACAAATTTGGTTGCCTGTCTTTGTTACGCCGCTGCATAAGGTTGAAAATTTTACCCGACCCACCCGTGCCATCCAAACCGACTCACCCGAACAAACCGTCAACATAGAGTCAACTCACAAGGGTGGATGTGGCCCAATTACGGGCAATTAGCATACATGGACCAACTAGGGCTGGTAATTGGTGTTCCGGTTAATGGTATAACCGGTAACCGTACCGATAACCGGCAGTAACCGATTATACCGTTAACCGGCGGTACCGGTTGGCGGTAGAGAAAATTCTCCATCGGTATACCGCCTTTTAATCCGTAATTTACCGACGGGTAGCCGGTTAACCGACATACCGGAACTCAGGGGCGGATACATAGGCATGTAGGGGTGTCCCGGGACACCCCTAAAATTTGGGGAAACGATTATTCAACCTCCGGTAGTAGTTTCGTATGGGTATACAAAATATAATTGGTAATCTGGGACACCCTAACATTTGAAAAAATGATTATCCTACCCTCGATAATAGTTTGCTTATGATTAACAAAATATAAGTGGTAGCCCGTGTTATTCTAACCTAGGAGACTACTATTATCAAACATATTCTAATTATGTTGCTACTCATTTGTTATTCTATTTTAATCATCATGCAATCAGTAAAATGCTATTTCTTTATCCCCAGCTATTTTCAATACCTAATAATTAAACTACGTACACGGTACCCTTAATTTTGAATTGATTTTATGGTTACACGGCAAGTGTTGAAAGAGTCTTTTCAACTTTGAGCTACATTAAGAACAAGGTTAGAAATCGAATATGTGATAAGTTCGTGAAGTATTGTACAGTAGGATATAGTAGGATAAGTTTATTTATATTATTTTTTCAAAATATGAAAACACATCATGAATTTAATAAAAAATTTATATAAATATGATATTTTTAATATACAAATTATTTAATTTATTATTTAATTAAATTTAACTTTTGAAGAGGACACCCCTGTGAAAATTTTCTGAATCCGCCACTGTCGGAACTCACCAGTTCCAGAGGCAAAATCACAGTAAATTCCAACCCGTCCCTATCTTCACTCCCCCTGCTAGCCTCACGGGTCTCCAATCTCCATCTTCTCTTTTTTAACCCATAATCCAATTCGTTTCTTCCCCACTCTTCTTCTATCATTCTCACATTCCAAAACCATAATTCAACCCATAGAGGGGAAATAAGCAAACAGTAAACCAAAATTGAAAACCCCAAAAGCCCAAACCAGAATTGCTTACATAGCACTACGCCACCACCATCTCTATCGATGAAAGAGAATCAGCCGGATTGAAGAACCACCGCTTGAGGATTCGTCTTCGCTTCTCCGTTGCATGCATCTGAAAGTGACGGCGTTGGGTTGGATTGATCGGAGCAAGAAACCAGAACTTGGGTTTTCAGTTCAAAAATCAACGCCACCATTCTCAAAGCGGAGATCTAAAAATCAAAGAGGAGGTTCAATGACCGTTTGATTCCCTCTCTCCGTCGCTTGATCTCTAGCTTGATTTGTCCACCGCTAGATCTCGTCGACATGTTCTTATTCAATTAGTCGCCGACGAACATCATTCATTTTCCTCGGCGTCGCCGGAGAACTGTTTCAGCGGCGGTGGCAGCAACGACGGTTGAGAGCTTGCGTCCTTCGGGATCGATAGGAAAGGAGGAAGAGGGAAGCGAGGTTGTTGGTGGTGTTGGTAAAGATAGGGGAGAAGCAGAGGAAAACGATGAGGGAGAAGGAATTTTGTTTCCGGGAGAAGATGAGGGAGAAGGAATTGTGGAAGACAACTGCCTTTTTTACATTTTCGGTATATTGGTGTTAACCGGTTGCTAACAGTTAACCGATATGCCGGTTAATCGGTTGATTTCGGTAACGATAGTCGGAAGGAGTTTGGGACCAAACGATATACCGATAACCGGTTAACTGGTAACCGACCGATTACCAGCCCTAAGACTAACTATAGATATTGGTTCCAGGTTAGACTTTGCGTCTTGTACATTATTATTGGGTTTTTCGTGTAATGATGATATGTGGGCACAATAATAATATTTATAAATTATCATCTTAAACTTCAATTTAATTATTGTTATCGCAAATTCCTATGTTAATTTCAATATATTTAATAATATCTATTTGTGATTATTGTAAGCATTTTTAGTTATTACTTATTTTGTTTATTAAATACTACAATGACTTGCTTTTCACTTCATTTTTACCTCTTTTTTTTCCCCAAAACAACAATGACAATTCCGATTAGGGTTAATATCCTAGTTTGCCCCGAAGTTTGGCGAAAGTGACAGTTTTTGCCCCATTTTTTAAATAAGACATTTGTGGCCTACTTTTGAAACTATTGGACAAATTTGGCCCAAAATTTTCTTTGACCGTTAATATTGACGGTCAAACTCTATTCCATTACTGACTTAGCAAAAACCCAACGATGTGGCATGTCCACATCATTAAATAATATTATTTTAATTTTATAAATCATTTAAAATAAAAACTTACAAATTAAAAAAATCCCTCTTAACCCAAAATTCCCAATTCCCAAATCAAAACCCTAAACTAAATCAACATCAGGCGCCTCCCTCCCCTTCCTCTTCTTCACCGATCCCTCTCTTTTTTATTTCCTTTCTATTTCCCCTCACTCACACTATCTCTCTTGCTTCACTCAATCCGACGTACGCGAGGAGCTTCCCCGCCGCTCCCGCCGACGAGCATCCCCCGCAAGACCTCCGCTGCTGGTAAGTAGGATGACCATCACGGCGGAATTTGCGGCGACCACTGCGGCATCCGCCGCCCCGGCGGGAGCTCGCTCGCTCGAATCGTCCTCTTCATTACGGCAGCCCTCGTCTTCGTCGGCGTCGTAGTCCTCCGCGACCGCATTCCGCCGGGGCATCACAGAGGAGGAAGAGGAACCTTCGCGAGCTCCCTGCTATACCTTGATTGAGGCCGCGACGGAGGCGCTGCCGTTGTGGTCCTTTTCTCGGTAGGACTTGACGAAACTCCACCGCCGCTTCTCCTTGGGACGAGCGGCGGTCGGGGCATGCTATTGTTGCGGGAGGGAATGATCGGAGGGCTCTAGGACGAACCGGAACCACTGCGAGGCTTGCCCATTATTTTTTGAAGGTGGACTGGAGGGGGAAATGGCGGTGGATAATTTAGTTAGATGTTTTGGGGGATCGGTGAAGAAGAGGAAGGATGAGGGAGGCGCCTAATGTTGATTTAGTTTAGGGTTTGGACTTTGGATTTGGGGCTTGGGGTGGGATAATAAGAGGGGATTTTTTAATTTTTATTTTAATGAATTATAAAATTAAATAATATTATTTAATGACGTGGCATGCTACATCAACAATTTTTTGCTGAGTCATTAACGGAACAGTGTGTCAAGGAAAATTTTGGGCCAAATTTATCCAATAGTTTCAAAAGTAGGCCAAAAATGTCTTATTTGAAAAATGGGGCCATAACTGTCACTTAAGCCAAACTTCGGTCCAAACTATGGTATTAACCCTTCCGATTATTACATCATTGTGATACAAGATAATCAGAAGTTCATCTTGAGGTATCCACCATCATAGCGAGACTGTGGAGGTTGTTCGTTGTTTACTAGATAGAAGGAATCTCGTCATGATTTGGGATAAAATAGAAATTTGTGTTGATTGATTTTTTTTTCTCTTTTTCAATGAAGAATTGATTATTGAGTTGGAACTCATTGTTTTTTCGATGCATTGTTGTAGTTAGGGTTTTTCGGATTGACCACCACTCAATTGATCTAATGGACACTGATCGCGTGTAGTATGGATGAAAATTTACCTAGTATGAAGACTAGGATAGTATTCTCTAGGGTCTCTCATAACCACTTACTCAGATGGCGAGATACAAGTTTTATGAGGTTTTAAAACTAATGCGGAGGTTGAGGTGCCTCTAGGGTTGAAGTTTCCCTTGATTTTACAAAACAAAAGTGAAAAGCAATGCCGGAAAGTAAAACTATGCTACTGGTTGGTGAAGAAAAGATGAGTGTAGGGGTGTTGCATATGCAAGCTCCCTCTAGAGCTCCTTTGACTTTGAAACCTTAATCATGCCAGCTAGTGATGGCAATTTGAACTTGCCAAGCATATGAACTGTTTGATCCTTGTTGGGTTCGTTCCTACCATGTGCCTTGGAATTTACTAGGACCAATATGCAACCTTATGGACCCTATGGATGTCTCCTTTGAGTAAGTCGAGTTTGAGGATGTATCATTGGAAAGATAATCCTCATCTTACATACACAATCATACCGACAACAAACCAAGCATAGCAATCTAACACAAATAAATGAAATCAATATCATATGTACCAAAATCAAGAGTTTACATAGTCAAAGAACCTATAGGGTTCGCCCACCTAAACAATTAAGAAAAAAGCCACTCATAGGAACAGTATCGGGAAACACATAATTCGAAACGAGATTCCCGTATCACAGTCAGAATCAGCGGCTAGGTTTTCGTTTATATTGCCGATTCGCCCTCTGAATCCAACTTTGCTCTAAATCAAGAGAATCATTATATCATCAGAGTAATCTTCCTCTAATACCTCCTATCTCTAGCTACTGAATTTTTATCCCCTAGGGGTCTATTTATAGGCCTTTGCATAAGGTTTTTTGTGAGAAAAATTAGGCTTAAAACACGTTTGTCAAGCTCTCGGGTCTCTTCTAGTTTGGCCACCAAGTTTAGCATATTCCTTTCGAATCTAGGCTCGATCTGGTGACTCCCTGAAATGGCGGTCTAGGTGCAATTTTGAGTTCGAGTTGAGTAATTTCCACGCATTTTGGGACTCAATCCAATCTTGCATTCTGACTCCCAACAACCGGTCCTTGACGTTCCCCACTCGTACACGATGGCCAGCAGGATACTTTAACCTGAAAGCATGAAACACTATCAAAAGTGCTTCAAAATTATAAAATCAATCATAGAACTACTAAAATTCACCTTGAGTAGTTATCAAGTAAATATAAGTGATTATGAAACTAAAGCTGTGAAAACTATGCAATTCTAGCCATAATAAAGGGGTGTAAAATAGTATTTTTTTCACTTGTCATAAAAAATCTCTACACTTGAACTTTACTTGTCCCCAAGCAAACCATACCCACAACCGTACAACTCGCTAGACCTCTACAATGACATATGATTTTCTATCATAGGTAGTGCATTATAAGCAACTTACAATGTCAAGCCTTATAGTTATAGAACCAGACCACATCATTGAGGTACATATATTATGAGTAAGGACAATATGGCCAATCGCCATCAATCATAAGCTCCTTACTCAACTCGAGAGTCTTAAATGTTTAGGGTTAAGTTTTATGCAAACTTTATTTTGAAGTTGAAGTACATTTCTACCTTTATTTGACAATGAGAGTTTTATTTTTCGTCTCTTTATGAATAGCATGCCATTTTTGCACTTTTTTGTAGCACTAGTGGGCTTGGTCGAACCGTCCCTATTTTCCTTTATGGAATGAGTGATTTCCTCACATGGACACGGTTTACCCCACATTTTATTTGTAAAGGAAATACCATTTTGTCAAGTAGAATTTTCGAATGTATATAGAGATACAGTTCAACATCAATAAATTTTTTAAAGTAGGAGACGTGTTGGAAGAGTTTAAGAACTCGCAAAGTATAGTGATAAGCATTGTATCCAACCATTTCGAATGGTATTAGTCTCATGACGAGGACATCCTTAATAACCACTACACTAGACTCTTTAGATCATTTACTAACGCAAAGACTATAAATTCAAAGTAAGATGAGCTTTGAATTGCTTTGGGAGTGTGGAATTAGTTTATTATTTTTATATGCATGATGCACACACAATTTTTCCCCTTATGTATGGACATTTAGTCAAGGTAGATGTATGAAGTGCAGCCTACTAAACCTACCCCACACTTTAAGTTGACCAATGCCCTCATTGCTCCAAGCAAAGCAACATGGTAGAGTTGTACGAATTTATGTCAATTGTTGGAATGATCCATGCATAATCGGCTAGTTTCTCTTTATTCATGGAACTTAACAAAAAGGAAATAAAAATGAAAATGGATAGAGCAAGTGTGTCATCTCCTCAACCTACGACATTAATCTTCAAAAGGTAAGCCTAACGGATTTCGTGATTACTTCGAAATCAAGTTGTTTGAGTTGTCAACAAAGGAGGTTGTTACTCAAGCACATATTATCCTAACTAAAATGATGGAACATGAATTGGTTGTATGAGTGGTCACAATTTGGTGGCGATTGGGAGTGGAAATCCAAAAGTGATGGGAAGGGAGATTTGGTGCGTATAGGAAGGAAAAAGGGGCACAAGGTCATAAATCGTGGTCTAGGTTGGGTGAAGGTAAATATCGAAAAAAACTGGAGGCTAAGAACCATAACTCAAAGTTGAAGGTCCAGTCGATGAATCATCACCCCACTCCATCGAACTGGCTGTTGTGTTAGGTACATGGGTTGGTTCTAGATATGGGTAGTGATTTTATGTTCCCAAGTTTACCAAGCACAACATCTTTGTTTAATAGGACAATAAATCTATATATAACATGGGCTTAGCAATACATTAAGAAGTAGAGATTGCATGTGAGTACCGAAAAAATGTGATTCCAAGAATTTTTGATGATGAAGTGCATCCCATAAGGTAGGGCCAAACAACTTTATTGACGATAAGACAAATCTTAAAGCTACACCTACAAAAGATAAATAAAACTCGCGGTATCTATAGTACTTTTGTTTTATGTCCTTAAGATAGACAAATCTTGGATTGCCTCTCACATAGAGCCCTCTCCTTTATGCCTTTAAGATAGACGATGCAATTAGCATATTTGTCATACAACCAATGGGGCTCTGGTGGCCATTCTCCTCATCTATGATATGATCCACATTATCAATTCTCATCATGATTCTACATTACATAATATCCATTAATGCATCAGGTGTGGCTAAGAAAGGCATCTCGAATAGGATAGAGTAGATTTTGTCTCTATTCATGTCGAGTACGACAAATTCAAGGGAGAACACAACGGGTACTATATCTAACTTTATATCCATGACCATGCCTCTAGGGAGAAAAAAATGTGTTTTCAGCCATCGTTATTTCCACGGTCTCCTCCTGCTAGATTAGCCATCTCGAGTAGGGATGGCAACAAAACCCGAACCCATGGGTAACCTACCCGATCAATGTGGATAAAACTCGTGTTGACGGGTTTTGGGTTGGGTTTGGATTTAAACCCGTACATCGTTCACCGGGTTGGATTTGGGTTTAGGGATATCCAACCCATGCATACCCGCTCACACTTATTCGTCGTCCTACTCTCCCCAAACCCTATCCTAAGTCTAATTTTCTCAATCTAACTCTCACGACAATCATGACTCACCTGCCGCCTCCCCAATCTCCACTATGCTCTCTCCTGCAAAACCCCCTCTCCTTCCTGATCCGATCCCCAATCCTTCCCTGCTTCTCCTAGAAAGTTGACTATGTTTTATTTCTTACCAGCAAGGCATTGTTGCCTTTTTCTCAAAAGAACTTGGAGGGATAAATTAATAATTGAAGTTGAACACATCATGTTTGTCGCTTTACTGCTCTCTCACAAAAAAAAAGGGAATGGACGAAAAACAAAGAATTGTGTGTTTAATTTTCTAGAAGTTGAACACACCATGCTTGAATTTTCTAGATTGGTGTTGAGCAATTTGTATGAATAATTTGTGATTTGTTTGAATTTTTTAGACTGGTATTTTATGTATGGATAATTTGTATGGGGAAATTGATGTTTGACTTTTATTTTGATAGGAACTTGTGATTGTAAATTTTTTACCACAAAAACCCATAGTTAACCATGAACCCGCGAATACCCAGCAGGTTGGGTTGGGTTGGGTTTGAGTTTGAAAAAACCCGAACCAGCACTACCCATTGCCATCCCTAAACTCGAGTGCTTCATAGATGTAATGGGGCATCGTATTAAGGCTAGCAATTATGTATATGAGTGAATATGTTACGTGAAGATCGTTTGAGAGGTTTGAGATTGTGAATTTCCCTGGATCATATCGGGTAACTTCTGTAGCACTAGAAGCTGCATATGAGAAAGTATGTTCTCCATAGCGAGCTTTTTACAGTGTTCATACTCTTGTCTAAAAGTTTCCTTTTAGCTTTCGTCTGATTAGACATCCCTACGATAGCCTTTGAACTGGTATTGCAACTTTTCTTCCTCCCAATACCACGAAAAACTCGTCCATTACAATCTGGAATGTGAAACCAGGGTCTTCTCGAGGGGACAAAAAGTCGGCATCCCCGTCGCCAAATTTCGTCAATTAGGTTGTTAGGACTGCCAGATCCTTTTGAGGGTGATTTTGGGTCTCGATATTATACATAATGGCCTTGACTTCCTCTGTGATAGAATTTTTTTTTTAGCTTTAGGATTTGAAGGAGTCATACCATTGTATGGAGATGATTCTTTTTTCTTACAAGGTAAGGTGCTCTTCTCCTTCTTCTTCGAATAGAAAAGGTTTTAGAATATAAAAAGTGTCCTCTTTGTGCATGTATAAAGAGATTAGACCTTTCTTTGTGATCATGAGGTGTTGAATACTCGGTGTAGGAGTAAGCTTGATAAGAACTCTCCTTATCCATGTTTTCACAATTTAGTCGACTCAAAGCGAAATTTTTGTCTCATCAACTAAAATAGCCACCATTTCTGGTCTTGTGTCGAATATGGATCTTGCCTCTTTTGATTATCCCTCTATGTGGTTTCTACCCCAAAATAGGGTTTGGAAGCATGTAACCAATCGAGAAATCACTTTCGTTACCGATAAAGTCCATAATTCCCCCTTTTCATAATCGTTATGTCCTGATGATATTGGATTATGCTTGGGAAGTCCAAATGATTCCATAGTCAGTGTAGAACTAGGTTCTAGGTTATATTCCAGGAGATCATAAATTGGCATCTCGGCTGCCAATTATGGCCTGAAATTGGCAGGTGGGCCACCAGTTTATGCCCAATGGGTAATTCCCTATTTAACTCCCTACCACGGGTTGCAGAATCACGATAAGTCTGAATGTTGACGCCAATCTGACTCTTCTTTCTCATCTTTGTCATGCAGACGTCACTAGAGAAGAACTACACCACCGGAGGGAGAAATACAGCTCATACCATTAAACTTTGAGAATTAGGACAAGGATACCGCTAAAGTGAATTTAGGGCGTTGGATACCATGTAATTCAATCAAATGTACATCCTTCCGTTTTTCCATCCATTTTACTAACGAAGAAAAAAAGCCAAGTCGGAGTTGACTTCAAGCCTCGTAGGCTGTTGACTCACTTTTTAAGTGAAATTTACTATTGCATAGCTTTTTTTTTCCTTGCTTGCAATTCATCATTACGTTTGTATTGGCATACATGAAGTAGCGGTGCAATGAATGAAATTGATATCTCATAAAAAAACAAATCAAGTTCCATCTAAACACAGTGGCAGACCCAGAAATATTATTAAGCGTATTCAATAATAGACCAAAATTATTAAGGGTTGTCACGTAATTTTGCATTTGAATATTATCATCACTAAAAACACTACGGGAAAAAGGACTTCTTGCAACACTTGGATTGCAACACTATTTAAAAGTGATGCGTTAGTCATATAATGACAACACTTTTATTTTTGGTTGCGTATTGAATAGTTACGCAACTCAATTTTTTTATATGTTGCATTTGTTCTCCTATACGCAACACATATGTCAAAATAAAATTTTTAGTTGCCTAATTGTATAGCTTACGCAACGGTTTATATATTTGTGTTGCTAAACATCAAATTTACATGATTGTACCCTTAAAGTGAAATTGTGAATTATTAAGTTGATTGGAGAGTTAAGTGCAGAACTAGAACAGGAAGATCAATTTAGCTAGCAATACCCAAAACGTAAAACATGAGAAAAAAAGAATCCCAATCATCAACCATCGTGAACACTAGTCAAAGGGAGTTCTGAACATAGAAAAGAAAAGGAAAAGTAAAACAAAAATTATAATAAAAGTGCAAATTACCCAAAACCGTAGGGTCTTTCTAGCTCCCTTTCTACCCAGAATTCCCCGCGAAACAGAGAACTCCCGCGTGTTCTTGAGTCGGAAAATTGAACCTGCAGCAGAGGTCCGACAAGTAGCAGGCATCAGTAAGCATCATATCTTTCTTTCCCTGACGCCGACGGCACAGATTTCGTTCACCCCCACCGTCAAGCATCGATCTTGCGTGTTGTTCTTATGTTGGGAATTTCACGGAAGCTGGGATTGAGGACCGGCAGCACATAGAGCGAAGCAAAAACCTAATCCGTAAGAGCAACGGCCATCAAGTATCTCCCTAAGAGCAGATTCAGTGCGTCAAAGCAGCAGACAGAGCATAGGATTTGTAGGTACTTCCATCGCAAAATAGGAGTTCAAGGCAGCTCGTACCCAGAAATCAATCAACAACTATCTTAATTTGAGTACATTTGATGGTCGAAGTTTCATAAATTCCGCAGGTATATCTTCGCTTTGCACCCTTTGATCAGTTCTGGATAGGTGAAATCTAGAAACTCATCTGGAATTTTCATAAAGAAAGTCTCACTCTTGAACGCCATTGGATTGGGTGTGTTATATGCATATGATTTTCTCTTTTGTGTGATTGTAATTATAGTTTTCGTTTTTGGTTCAAGGATTGTAGATAGATTTTAGGAGTTCAACTTTTCAAATTCATTGCAAGATGACAGCAGATAGGCCTCTAATCCCAATTTGCTGCTTCTCTTAAGCTTATATTCTCCTTGTTAAGTTTTAAGTAAACTGTGATGTTATAATGTTAATCTCCTTGATGTCATCTCCTTCATCGTCCTGTTATAATCAATCTTGCAAAGTGGTTGTCCCGACCAGCCTTTACAATCCTGTAGATCTTCTTGTTCAATGCAGTCCGGTGATGGTACCCATTCTGACCAGCCATTGCCACTGTGTAGGAGACCCTAGCTTGCGCTGGTCTCAGAAGATTTAGTGTATTTTGTATTTATTTGCTCAATGGTGCTGCTGCTCATGCTTGTAAGTAGTTGAACTTGTTACTGTCCCATTCAGAATTAAGGAAAAGAATCCGTGTTCAAAATCGATACAACAAAGTTGAGTTACTTTGTGAAGGTAAATTATAGAAACACAAAAATAGAATGTGGATTTGGTGAAAGCTGCAGCGTACAAGAAAAATGCAACATAAGTAAAAGCATGTGCTGCTGCAAGTTTCCTAAGCTTAGATAGAACACTTTTCATGAACTGAATGCATTGTATTATTACATGTTTAGTTAAACTTCGTGGGGTGCTTGCAATTATGATTGCCAGAACTTCATTTCAAAGTAGCTTGATCATCTAGTCTTTTGCCACATCTTAATGCCTTCTTGGTAGTCAATCACTTAACTGGTTCTGTATCAAAGGTGATTTCAAAGTCTATGTGGTTCTGTTAACAACTTATACAAGAATGAGTTATATTTATTTATTTACACTTTGAGTTACCATTCCATGTCATCTAGCATATTGCTGCTGTTGCATTTGTTTAGTGGACAAATTGTCATTTTTAGAGATCCATCCATTTGAGAATGGCCGTGACCTTCCGTTGTAAAAGTCTATTAAATGATTTATTTATTTATTTAACAATGGTGTTTCTACTTGCAGAACCATTACTTTGTTGCATGAGCTAACCACCTGCCCCACCAAGTCTTTGTGCTTTAGGTTTCCTGTGAAGAGAACAGAACCATAACCGAAACCCCATGTTAATTATGCAGAAAACAGCTTCAATCCATCTAAAGAAAACCAGAATTCATCCGTTGAGAACTGGATCACACAGATTACAGCTGAAAATGTCTATTACAGAACAAGCTTCTTACCTCACTTGAAGGATCTCAAAATGTCTATTACATTACAAGCTGAAAATGTCTATTACAGAATTAATTCCTTAAATATGCTTAAGAATAGCCGTTCAATTTATGCGAAGAATATATAACCTGCTTAGGGAATAGATACAACTAAGAGGACTTGATTTGGCAGGAGTATATACAACAAAGAGATTACATTCTGGCAGTTGGTGGCTTCAGCTGGCAGTATGTGAAAAAGAAGGACGGGCCAATATATATTTGTTAACTGCTGAAAATTGCAGCTTACCTCTTTGTATCTTCTGTGTTCATTACCTCTTGGTGTGTATAAACTCACTAATTCTGGTCATTTCAGTTTGCAGTTTATATATTGAAGATGGACAAGAGTTGGCTCTCGAAACCACGAGCAAGTGCCGCCTATCTTAATGGAGTAGAGAGTTTTCTGGACTTCGCCTTTTCTAATTCAGCTGAGGGGAATGAGATCCTTTGTCCTTGTGTGAAGTGTAAGAATATATTTTGGCAAACAAGAAATGTCGTGAACGAGCACCTGATTTGTCATGGGTTCGTGAAAAAATACACATTTTGGACTTTCCATGGAGAGAAAGAAGATCAAGATGGCCACAACGATGATATGATAGAAGATGATATTCTTGGTCTACTAAGAGAAGTTCTTGATGATAATGGTAGCGGAGAGCCAGATGGACATACTAGACATTTTTTCAGTCTACTAGACGCCTCCGATCAAGATTTGTACCCGGGCTGCAAAAAGTTTTCCAAGCTGTCATTCACCATTCGAATATATCTTCTAAAGTGCCTGCATGGATGGAGTAATTCCTCTTTTGATTCACTCTTATCTTTATTGAACGAGGTATTTCCTGATGCAAAGATTCCCAAGTCATTTGTTAAAATGAAAACAATGATTAAGGGTTTAGGGTTGAACTACAAGAGGATTGATGCTTGTCCAAATGATTGTATGCTTTATGATGGTGATGAAGACAGTAAGCTGAAGAGTTGCAGAAAATGTGAGAAGTCCAGATACAAGTTTCCCTTGGAGGATAAGGGAGATAGTGTTGAAGAAGGTATTGTTTCTAAGAAACAAGTTGCTGCTAAGATTTTTCGCTACTTTCCTTTGATACCGAGACTCAAAAGGTTGTACATGTCTTCCAAAACAGCTGGATATATGAGATGGCATGAGGAAAAGAGAATCAAAGATGGGAAGCTTAGACACCCTGCAGATGGTCAAGCATGGAAAGATTTTGATAGCTTATATCCTGACTTTGCAGCTGATTGTAGAAATGTCAGGATTGCCATTGCTTCAGATGGTTTCAATCCATTCAGGACTATGACAAGTAATCATAGCACGTGGCCTGTGGTAGTGGTAATCTACAATTTACCATCCTGGATGTGCATGAAGCCGGAGTACTTGGTGTTGTCTTCGATTATCCCAGGGCCAAAATCTCCAGGAAATGATATTGATATCTATTTAGGACCATTTGTTAATGAGTTGAAGACTTTATGGAGTGAGGGAGTAGTGACCTATGATGCCCATAGCAAGCAAATGTTTAACATGCGTGCTAGTTTGATGTGGACCATCAGTGATTTTCCTGGATATGCCATGCTGTCTGGTTATAGCACAAAAGGAACATATGCTTGTCCAAATTGTAATTATGACACATGCTCTCAGCATCTGAGGCACAGTCATAAGATGTGTTATATGGGAACACGCAGGTTTCTTGATATTGATCATGAGTGGAGGAGGGACAAGAGCTCTTTTAATGGGAAAACAGAGTTTGGACAGAGACCTCAACCTATATCTGGTTCTATGATCAAGGAAAAACTATCAGGATTCATCAATGATTTCGGCAAGAGGGACAATAAGAAATGTGAGTCAAGATTTCCACTTCATAAGTTGTCTATTTTTTTTTACTTGCCTTATTGGGAGCATCATCCATTACGTCATAATCTTGATGTGATGCATATAGAAAAGAATGTCTTTGACAATGTTTTGGGAACATTGTTAGACATTCCTGGGAAGACCAAAGATCATTTAAATGCTCGTCTAGATTTACGTGATATGGGAATCAGAAAGAAGCTTCATCCAAAAGAATCATCAAATCATAGAAAGAGTGAACTGCCCAGAGCTTGCTTTTGGCTAACCAGCCATGAAAAAGATATTTTTTGTCAGGTCTTAAAAGGAGTTAAAGTGCCAGATGGTTGTGCATCAAACATTTCTCATTGTGTCAATCTGAAGGAGAGGAAACTATCTGGGTACAAGAGTCATGATGCTCACTTTATGATGCAGTACTTGCTCCAAGTTGCTGTTTGTAAGACTCTGCCCAAAAATGTCGCTATTGCTCTGATTAGGCTTGGCAAGTTTTTCAAGGCCATTTGTCGGAAGGTTATAACCTTGAGTGAGTTGGATCAATTGGAAACTGAAATTGTTGAGACTCTGTGTCAATTAGAGAGGATTTTCCCACCCAGCTTTTTTGACATTATGGTTCATCTACCTATTCACTTGGTCGAAGAAGTTAGGCTTGGGGGGCCTGTACAAACACGGTGGATGTACCCAATTGAGCGATTTTTGGGTGTCCTGAAGGATTTTGTGAAAAATAGAAATCAACCAGAAGCAAGCATAGCCGAAGGGAATTCTGCTAAGGAATGTATGATCTTTTGCTCAAGGTATTTGAGTGAGAATGGCGATACAAGGTTCACTCGACCTTCTAGGAATTATGAAGGATTTTTAGTAGAGGCAAATCCTGGAGAATTGTTCCCCATTACAGGCAGACCACTTGGAGCCAAAAGAAATGGGAAAGGTAATTTGATTGAGATGGATGATGAGGTTCTTATCCAAGCTCGACGATATGTCATTATTAATTGTCAGGATAACTTGCCTGAGTTGTCTGCATATATCAAGTAAGCATATTTTCTTGAAAGTTTTGTGTTTGATCAAGTCTAAGATGATGATAATGTCTCTATTAACATAGTCTATTGAATTATCATTTCTTATACTTATGTGGTTACTCTACTTGTGTCAACCTTAGCAAAACCCTTCATTCAACTTTTACTCATGTGTTACTGGTTCTTGCAGTGAGTATGATCAATCTATAATAAAAAAACGCAAGAGCAGGAAGTGGACAAGAGAGAAAAGTCAAGCACAGGATATAGTACAGTGGCTTGAGTCTCGCGTTAAATATGATAAAGATGCTTCTAATATGATCAAACACATAGCTTCTGGTCCGAATTATATTGCTCAAAGCTTCTCGGGATACCTTATCAATGGTTACAGGTTTCATACTTTGGGGCATGAGAAGAACTTGCAGACACAAAGTAGTGGGGTAACGTTGACAGCAATGACATCAAGTTATGCGAGTTCCAAAGATAAAAATCCTGTGCTAGCTAATGTCACTTACTATGGAGCTATCGAAGAGATAATTCAGCTGGATTATTATTCCCATTTCAAGGTTGTCTTGTTCAAGTGCAGGTGGTTTGATTGGGAAAAGAATGATTATGGGCTCATACGGGTCAATTTTAGAAGATTAAAGTACCAAAATGACCCCTTTGTCATGGCAGACCAGGTAAATCAAGGATTTTATGTGCAAGATCCAGTGCAACAGGATTGGCATTATTTTATGGAGACCCTTCCTCGAGACTTATTTGACATGAAAGTCGATAGCTCACTAGGTGAGTTTGTTTCTAGTTCTGCAGCATCTAGAGTCGGAAACTTAGAACCCACTCTGCCAATTGATAACACGGAGGAGCTACAGTGGGCACGGGATGACGTTGAAGGAATATTTGTTGAAATTCCGGAAGAGACAAATGCCAGAGCGACAGATCCAGAGGAGGTCTACGATGTGGAAGATGATCATGCTCCAAATTCAGCTGAAGGGACAGCTGCTGGCGACATTCACTCAAGTGAAACTGCAATGCCAGATGTTGAAGAGGAATACACAAGTGAATCTGAAACTGAAGGTGATGAAGATGAAACCTCAAGTGAAACTGGAACGATCGATGATTTCTATGAATACTCTGACTAGCTTGTTGTTGTTTGGGGTCAGTTACCAAATTGGTGTACCTTTTAGTTCTAAAACTTGTTCGGCGTTGGTTATCATTCTTTTGAAGCCCAAAAACAGCCTGTTCAATTTATGCTCTGGGTTCTTGCTTTAACTTTTGTTATGATATATACTTCTTTTCTATTAAGTCAACTATGCAGGTTTTAGTGAAATGTGATTTACGTACAGCTGCCATCAAATGTACAGTGGCCATCGAAGGTGAAGGTGGAGATGATGATAGAGAATGGGGATGCGAGGGATGTGATTTTTCAGGTTGCTGATAAGCTATGTGTTGATGTTCTTGTGATGGGCAAATATGGGCAAAGGGAGAAGGAACGGACAAGCTAAGGAGAAAAAAGCAGGGCAGGGGAAATGAAAAAAGCAACTCAGCCTAGGTTTCTCTTCATTATCATTTATATTTGTTGTTTCCCTCTCAGGTTGCTGGCCATCAACTGTGGAGCTTACTGTAAACATGCACTGTGACTGTGAGCATTAGCTGCAGAAAATTCTGCAACTCCAGACCCTTAGCTGCAGAAAATTCTGCAATTACATGACCTGAATTCTGCACCAGGTGAACTAGTATGTATATATATAGGCTGGAATAGTTCAGAACCCACTAAGAGCATTAGCATTCATGAAATGGATCCATATTTGGGAGCATTATTGTTTCATTGCCAAACAAAAGGCCTCTCACCAGAACTGGAAGTTTTGCACCATAACTCGAAATGAAAGTACGAACAGCAAAGGCTGCCACAAACACAGGAGTATCTTCAACAAACTGTCCGAAAAGACTCTCGATATAAAAAAGGGACAATCTAACATCAAGGGGACTTGAGAATTACAAAACCATCAAGTCCAAAATTCTGCAGGCTTGGACTACATCAATCAGCCGCCAAGATCTGGTACTAATCATTTCCCTACAAAAAGAACAACGTTCAAAAATAATTATCCACAAGCATGCATAAAGAATGAAAGAAAGAAAGAAAGATAATATACCTCTTCCATTGCATCTTCGGTAGTTTCCTTTCCACCACTAGTGATATCGTTTGTAGAATTATCCACCAACAAAAAATCAAACATGCCTTCAGGAATGATGATTGATGGATTTTTTTCTTGCAACTTTGCCATTGCACCATGTAGTCCATTCGAGAGAAGGGTTTTTTGTTGGTCCATCTTAGTTTGCAGTTCTTCATTAGTAGCATGGGCTCCATTTGGTAGTATGTTGTCACTAGCTTGGTGTTTTCTCTTTAAACTCTTTGGAGTCACTCCTCTTCCATAATATCGAACCTTTGGCCGTGAACTTGAACCCTCTCCTTCTTCCACAATTGTTCTTCGCAACCCATCAACCTGAGCCTAATATGATAAAGGCGAAAAACAACATATATACCCTCGTGATTTTGAATCTAACAAGATACCTGTGCTTGCGGTAAGAAATCAGAAAAGAATACACATTCTTACTCTTGTAATTTCGTCCATATCATCTCCTTGCTTGGCCTTTCGAGTTCGGAAATACATTTCCAAAGCAGTTGGTTCTTCATTATTTCCCTTCAATTTCTTCTGCAGTACAATAGGTGGTTGTGTTATTCAAATCGCAGTGAAAACTTTATTGTTTTATGGCTCATCAGACTTATTGTAATTTACCAGCTTCTCTCGTTGCTTTGCAAAACTTTCCGACCCAGATTTGTGGTGATCCTCTTGTATCATACGATGCTGACTATTTCTGTCACTTTCTTCCTTTAAATTTTGGAAAACAAAGAAAGTTAGGTTGAGGCAAATATGGCAAACGAATTTTTTGCAGAAGTTTACCTGCACTTCTGGTTTGTTCCAGTGATCGAGAAGATCTTCCATTACACCCAATGGAATTGTTTTTGGCCTATTGGCCAATTTCTCCCTTCTTGTCTTATACTTGTTCATTTTTGTCTTTGTCCTACTCTTATGTCCCTTCCACGCATTGCGTACCGTATCCAAAACCCACTTCTTACAAATATTTGGAACAACATACTTGGCCTACAAACAATGAAACTTATCATAAATTAAAAATGAATTAATATTCAATTTCCAAACTTGAAGAGGATTAGCATCATACGTTCACGTAGTTCCAAATATCCTCTTTGTTCTCCTTCGGAACATCCTTCCACGAAAAATGATTTAAAGGAACAAACTTGTTGTTTCGCGCCAATGTACCCAGAAAGCTACTAAATTTGAAATCATCGCCAATAGGTTGACCGAAGTCATTAACAGTGATAGTGTCACGCTCTTCCATCTCACGAACATGAATTGCCATACAGCTTGTAGGACCTCTGGTTCGCTTTTGAACTACATCAACAAATAATTGTGCTATAACACATTCATGCCTTTTGAAAATAATTGCATAAGCAGAGTAAAAGTTGTGATTGAACTAAATGAAATGAAATTGATCTTGAAAAGATGAGTACCATTAGTCTCTGTTGAATTATCATCTTCTGGTTCAGACCCAAATTCATCTTCTTCTCCGATAGGCTCTTCATCACTTGGCTCGTAGCCAACATCTTCTCCACTATAGAGATATTCTTCTTCCATATCAATCCTTGAAGAGGGCGTGTTTCTGATATGTACTTGCTCAACAGTTTCCGTCCTGCGATGGAGTGATTGATGCCCATTTGGATCTGATGTTCTTTTGCTTTGGGATAAATAATCTCGAGGGGCTTTAAAGTGCGTATTCTTTCTAGGAACAGGCGGAGAAGATGATGAATTCTGATGTGCAGTAGATACCTTCTTTGAGTGTCCAGCCATGTGTTTGGAGATACGTATTGTATTTTCTGCAGATTTCTTACGGTGCATAAATGATTTTCCATTTGCGTGATCCCTTAATTGGCCTTGTTTGTTTTTCTTCGGATTTGATCCAACCATTGTAACGCGGTCTCCAGAAAGTTCAGAACTCTTCCTTGATGGGTTCTGGTTCTTCTTACTTTTATTCCGCTCGTTACTCAATAAATTTGATCTAATCATACTTTATGCTGAAAAGCAACAACACATATATAAATATATAAGATACGAAACTTATATGTGATTGCTAATAAGAAAGATACCAGTAGCAAACAAAAATCCATGATTGATCAATGCCGATGGCTGAGAACGGGTGTACATGAGAAACAAAAGGAAAAACAAAGCAGGGGACAGACCACTTGAAGCCGAAGTAACTATTTCAGATCGATGATGATGCATACCTGTTGTGTGCAGACCGAACTTGAGAGAGCGGCAAACAATCTTCAACAATTGGGGTTTCACAAGGAAGGCCTCTATTTATAGTTCTGATTCCCCAAATTTTGGCGGCAACCACTGCCGCTCTTTTGTTATTTATTATTATTTTTTTTTTTGAAGGGCGCTCTTTTGTTAATGTTATTTTGGTTCATCCTTTGCCGCCTTTTATTTCTAATATAGGGCACCTTTAACTTCCAATTGAGAGTTCGTACACAATATATATATATATATATATATATAAAAGGTTCAGGCTAGCGTACGTCAATCATACGCTTATGTTATCGCACAACCGTTAAATTTTGTTAGTTAGACCATGAATTATTCGGAGTTTGGAGCATGATACTATACCCTAACCTCTAATTGGTGAACCCCAGTCCCCAATTCTCTAACCCAAACCTTAATATTCATTTAATTTCAAAATGAAAACCAACAGTTCTGATTCGACAGAATTATCCATGTACAAAAAATAGGTGTGAACACAGGCGTATAGTAATGACTGGTATAGTATATATATGGTAATGACTGGTATACTTCAGGAGTATAGTATAAATTGACCATTGAGATTGATCAGAGTTTAGAAAAGGATCTAACGATCATATCACATAGAGTATGGTATACTAATCAAACCATTGTTCGTAACGAGAGTATCCTGTAGTAGGGCTAAAAACCAAAACATAAAACTAGAAGTGTACAAGCACATACACCGTTGAATCGAGAGTGTTGCACCTCCAAGTCCCCAAGTCGAGCGCTTCACCCCTTAACCCAACTCACAGACCGGCCAGTGCGAACACTTGAAAGTCTCCTCCCTTTTCGTAACTGGAACGTAATGTCAGTGCAGTTAACATTTGAAACCTCCAATTTCATAGTCCGTAATATGAGAATATGCTCCTTCTTGCCACTAAATTTTGGACGCTATGCTATATTTGACTTAGTAGTATGATACTATACGAATAATTTATTATCTATTACATACAAAGTGTTGTGGATCACTTTTAAACTACTAATAGTATGTGAATGAAAGTTTTGCACACATCTAATACATACTTATATTAGTGATAGACTATTATTTGGACGAGTTTTTTTATTTAACTAGCTAAGTGCTAAGAATAATTGATTGATCATCGTGACTTATGACGTTAAGAACAAGCACCGATGTTAATCATTATAATCTTTGTTTTTTAAAATATTATTATTATAATATGAGAAAAGTAAATTAAAGGAACATTTAGAAGAAATAGTTGCAGTGGTAAAATGTCTAATTAAGAAGGATATATAATGGTATGACAGGTTTATATAAGGAGAGAAAATATAATTATGCTAACTAACAAGATTTGTTCCCGTCTACTTTTTCCTTCATACCTTAATTATCTAATTAAACCTTAATTTATCTTTGTGACAGATAATATCTACCGGAATATAATATTAGAAAGGAAAGAGCAATATCCTTCCTGCCTTCAACCGCTATTATTTTCCTACGCAGAATCATAAACAAACCCTTCTTTGTTCAGAGGCTTCCATACCCTTCTCTTTTCCAGCCGCTCTAAACCTTCACCAAGAGCACCTTGTGAGTGTGTTCTATTTTTCGTTTTTTTCTACATCAATACACTGACATCAACTTGCGCCTCTTCTATTGTATGATTCAAAGTTTCCCTTTGTTTTCTGTGTTTGCTAGCAATGAGCACCGGCTGTGCCACTTACACAAGAAGAAAGAAGAGACGGCTAGACTCTGATTATGATACAGAAGAGACACGCTCGCAAACTCCAGAGACTGGATACGATTCGGATGAAACACAAATGGATGTAGCGAATATGCGAGAAGGCTTGTCATTTGTACCGTCCTCTGAAATTGATTCTGAGCCTCCAAAAGGTACCCAGTATTTTGTTAGTTTTTTCGCCAACGACACCGTGTTACGCCTAGCGCCTTTTTGAACCTTGGCTTCTGTTACTCAACTGAACAACGTTAGTATCCTGTCCAGTTTAGAATTGTTGCCTGAGCATTATTAATCATCTTTAATAGTTAATTTGGTGAGATTTGGCTCTAGGTGAACTTTGGCGAGCTCCGAGAGGTTTTTATCCTCTTCTTGCATATACCTGTGTTCTGTTCTTGAATACTATCTAAGTATCCTAGCCAGAGACACTGACTAATTCTTTTGATTGAATATCATGGCTCTTTTAAAATTAGCATTTAAAAATACTTTTGCAATTTGGTTTGTTTTCTTCTTTGGGCCAACAGTAGTGGGCATTATACATAATTGGTTTGTTATAATCTTCTATTTGGTTTGTTTGTTGTTCATTATTGTTTACTTTCTTCGTAATTAAGATAATTGTTTGTTTGGTACAAATTTTGACTTCGTTTTTACATTTTCATATTTATTATTTCAGTAAAGAATAAGAGGGGGGTCACAACTTGCAATAAAGTTGTGCTGGCCACTAAAGATGGGGATAAGCTAGAGGTTTATTTTCCCAAAACAGGGACAGAAGCTGTAGGTAAGAATGCTCGACAACTAGTTAATTTTTGCGGGGTGGTTGTGAGAAAACATGTTAAGTTGAGCAGTAAGAGTTGGGATGACGTGGAGGAAGCAATTCGCAATAAACTGTGCTCTTTAGTGGAGGTACGATCTTTTTACATCTTTCTTTCTTTGGTTAATATATTAGTTGCACATGTAAAATATTTTTTAGTGTGTAATATTATTGCTAATTTGTCTACAGGATAAATTCAAGAGCAATTGCAGTGAGAAGCTTAGATATTTTATATCGAAGAAATTCAAAAAGGCATATTCAACCATGCGTTACAACATGCACAAGAAAATTCAAGGGATAGATGAAAGTCAAAGGGAGAGTAATGTTCCTGAAGGCGTTGATAGTGCAGACTGGAAAGATGTTGTTGCTGAGTGGAAATCCGAACCATTTAAAGTAAGTACACGTCTTAGAATGAATTATATAGTCGTGTTGTGTATTTTTTTTCTTTACTACATTTATTTATATTAGTATTCATTAATATTAACCTTTGACTTTGGCAGAAAAAAAGTGATATAAATAAAAAAAATAGATCCCAAGTGAAATTGAAGAACGCTTGTGGTTCAAGATCTCATGATGAAGTTGAATTCTATATGGTAATGAATCTATATTTTTTACTTAATATTTAGTTATATTTTGAACCTTATACCACATTTTTTGTTTTATTAACATTCTTTAAGCTGAATGATGACATTGAAATTGTAGATAGATCCAGAAACTGGGATTGAGAAGTCTGCCGACGAAGTTTGGCGTGCTCAGCATATGAAAAAGAATGACGAAGGAGAGATGGTGTGGTGTGATGAGACATCAAAAGCAATTTATGTAAGTAACCTTTCTTTATAGTTTTGTTCGATGTTTTATATTTAAATTCATTTCATTTTGAAATACTAAAATTGGAGTTCAAATTTTGTTTTTACAGGAAAAAATAAAAGAGATCATTAACTTTGGAACTTTGTTGTCTAACAAAGAGATAATACTACAAGCCAAGGGCAAGCCCTCATCTCGACGTGCTAAGAGACCAAAAACCATTTTAGTCGGGGAAGAAGTTAGAGCTGGAATAGTAAAGGAGATCTACCAAGAGTTAAAACAACAGTTCGATGCACAATTAGAAGAAGCAAATAAGAAATGGCAACAGAAGTTTGCTGACCTCCAAGCGCAACACGAGGAAGACATGAGACAATTATTGCGTCCGAAATGAAGTCTATGAACTTAATGTTCGATAAACCACAACCTCGTTAGTTTCTTGTTTATGGTTTGATTGTTTAGAAATACTATTTCAAGTTTTTACTAGCAAAATTGTAGTTTGACGCTATTTTCCTATTATCTAGTGAATTCGGTATTATTATTTTAATGACTGTTTTTCTCTATTTGAAAATTATTTTTAGAGACAAGCACCCAAATTTTTTGTCACAAAATGTGCTCATGTGTGACGCGGGTTAATCTCACGTTTGGTATATCTGTGTCGGAAATCTTTGGCACAAAAAGAGACTAATATGATAATTTTGTTGTGATAGAATGAAATTATTCATGACAAGTTAATTTATCACCAATGCTTCGCTTTTGTGATCGACATAATTGTCATAATAGATACATCTGGTGATGAAAAGTTGGTCACTATTGAATGCAATCTACAATGTCTATGCTGACAACCATTGTCACTAAAACAAACAAATGCAAAAATTTCTTTGTCACAAAAGAAAAACATTTGTGATAAGTCAATTTATCACCAATGTTGTATTAAGTGAGGATCATAATTGTCACCAAAGCTAGGCTTTTGTGATGAAATACGGGTCACCAGTAATTACGATCGTGAATAAGTCGTCTTGCTTATGTTGCTTCTGTGATGAAAATATTGTCACAAAATGATTCTATTGCGACAATCATATAGTCACATAAATACATTATGAGTGACAACCAAAAATTCGTCACATAAAGGGTTGCATACGTGACAATAAAAATCGTCATAAATTATAACTTCAGTGACAACAAAACCCTACCCTACAAAATACAATGAACGTCAGAAAGTGTATTAGTGACAAAACTATGGTCACTTATGACAATTTTTTGTGACAATTGAAGACGTCATTGTTGGCATTTTTGTGTCGCCAACAACTCGTCACAAAAAGGATCTCTATTGACGACGAGATTGTCACTCAAATCTTAGCATTTGTGACAAACGAAATTGTCACAAATGGATTGATCATTTGTGACGAACTCGACTCGTCACAAATTAAAATTAAACGTTGCGAAAAATTCGTAAAAAGCGTTGGCTATGTTCTCAAAATGTGTTGCAAAATTTTAAAAATGTGTTGCCTAAAGTGGTGTTGCGTAAAACGTAATGATACGCAACACTTTTTATTTTGGTTGCCAAAAATGGAAAAAAGGTTGCGTATTCCTTTTGCAACCCCCACTATACGCAACTCTTGTAAAAGTGTTGCGGTAGGATGTTGCAACTCTTTTATGGCTTTACGCAACACATTTTTTGGGTTGCAAGAGGCCATTTTCCCCAAGTTAGTTTTTCTTCTTCTTTTGGTGCGGAGGGTTGGGAAAGCTCAATGGTGATTGGGCAAAGAAGTTAAGTGTTTCAGCAGCCTACGTGGCTTGAATTCAATGCTGAGTCGGCTGTTTTTTTTTTTTGCTTCATTAGCAAAATGGATGGAAAAATGGAAGGATTTGGAGTTACATGGTATCCAATGCTCTAAATTTACTTGAGTGGTATCCTCGTCCCAATTCTCAAAGTTTCATGGTATGAGCTGTATTTCTACCCACCACCGAACAATACAGAAGTCACGCGACAAACGATGATGTCCTCAAGATGATTGTTTCACACCGACATTCATAGAAGAGTCTTCTTCTACGCTTCCAATGCAGTCAAAATCGCAGTTCTGCGTAGAAGCGCTTTGGTGACCTAGAAGCGTAAATTTTGACTACACTTGTAAGTAAAAAGATTAATTCTCCATAAAAGCGCTTTGCTGACCTAGAAATGTAAAAACATAAACTTTTAAGTTTTAAATCACGATTTTGACTACTTTATTCAATGCTTCTAAAATTGCGAGCATGGGAGAGCCGGATCGAGAGCACAAAGAGAGGTAAAAAAAAGGAGAAAGTTTGGTGAGAACATTAAATGCATCCCTTCTTTCTATTGCTGAAATTTTCACCAAAAAGAGGAGGGACATTTTGGTCCCAAAAAAAATGCACCCACCCTTTTTGTACCATTTCGCTATGGTACACACACCCAGATCTGTGTGCACCAACTCACAGCACAGGGGGAGGGCCACGTCGCCCAAGCCAGCAACAGAGGGCCAAGATTGATCGGCTCGGGGAAGGAGACGAGCCGCGCTTGAGCTGTGGGGAAGCCGAGCTAAGGGTAGTGGTGGGGTCGAGTAGTGAGAGATGGGTGGGGTCTTGGCATAAATTTTTGGGTGTTTTGGTGGGATTTAGGTCGAAAAATCTAGCCAAAATTGGCTTAATTAATTCCACCCACCTACCAACCCCTCTCTCTCTCTCTCAATCTCACAACTCTCTTCTTCTTCCTCATCTTTTCTCTCCGTCCGCCTTGCCACCATTGAAGACGAGAATCCAGAGAAAAACGCAGGAAGGGGAGGTTTGATGGAAGATCGGTCTTTCAAAGAGAAGAAGGAGATGCAAGAAAGGGAAGATAGTGTGTAGAAGATGGGGGATGATGTCGAAGGAGATGCCGGACCAAAAGAGGAGGTCCACCTTGAAGATCTGTCAACTGGAAACGATAAAGGTTATGTCAAAGGAGACGAACCAGAAGATGTGGACCTTGCTGATACCATCCTCAAAGCGGATTGTTCATCTGATGGTTTGTGGGGCTCGCAAGAGTGGATGGCCGCAGCTGATGAAATAGAAGGGGGTATGTGAAGACTAAAAAAAACAGATACATTCAGACTTATATATGTTTTGGTTGTTGATCAGCATTGAATGTGTTAGGGTTTACATTTATGGTGCTTGCATTTATTATATTTTAGGGTTTCTTCATTGCATGGTGTTCTGTGCTTGCCTGAATACTTGGTCGTTCTATCCTGAATATCATGTGGAGGAACAGAAACATGAATATCGCTTGCATGAATACTAGTTAGCCGTAATGACCATATTACTTTTTAAATTTCATGATTATTAATTTTACGTTATCGAATATTAGTTGCTACATAATATTAGTTGGTACAGAATATTAGTTAGCCGTAAATACGCTTCATCTTTATAAGAATATTCGTTGACCTTCTAATGAATACACATTCATCTTCAAAAGAATATTTATTGACCTTTTAATGAATACGCATTCATCTTTTAAAGAATATTCATATACATTCTAATGAATACACCTTCATCTTTAGTAGAATATTTGCTAACCTTTTAATGAATATGCATTCATCTGTAGACGAATATTCGTGGACCTTCTAAGAATATGCATCATCTTCAAAAGAATATTAATGGACCTTTTAATGAATACGCATTTATCTTTAAAAGAATATTCATTGGCATTCTAATGACTATTCGTTGACATTGTAACGAATATTCGTTGACATTGTAATGACATTCTAATGAGTATTCATTGACATTGTAACGAATATTCTTTGACATTGTAATGAATAGTTGTTGACATTCTAATGAATATTTGTTGACATTGTAATGAATAGTCGTTGACATTCTAATGAATATTTGTTGACATTGTAATGATTATTTGTTGACATTGTAATGAATATTCGTTGAAATTGTAATGAATATTCATGACATTGTAATGAATATTCGTTGACATTGTAATGAATAGTCGTTGACATTCTAATGGATATTTATTGACATTGTAATGAGTATTCATTGACATTGTAATGAATAGTCGTTGACATTCTAATGAATATTCGTTGACATTGTAATGAATATTCGTTGAAATTGTAATGAATATTCGTTGAAATTGTAATGAATATTCATGAAATTGTAATGAATATTTGTTGTCATTGTAATGAATATTCATTGAGATTGTAATGAATACTAGGTGACCTCGTTTGAAATACACATGCATTTGTGAAAGAATATTAGTTGACCTTGTATTGAATACTTTTATTGGTTGGATTTGACTAATTGTATTTATTTGTGCAATTCCAATGACAGGCTATGCAGCACTAGAAGATGAGTGCTTAAGGAAGAACTTGCAATTCAATAAAGTAGATGATTGCAAGAGCTTCTATTCAAGATATGGTCATGACCGAGGTTTTGGTATTCAAGTATACAACGAACACACGAGGTTGCGCAAGAACAACAAGGGAGAGCTTGAGGAAAAGTATTGGTACCTTTACTATTGTTGCAACAAACAAGGCTTTCGAAGGTGAGTACTAGAAATCCAAAGGTCATTAAGAAACGACCGGAGGATAGTGTCATTGTTAAAACCTAGCGTAAAAGAAAAAGAAACGAGTTAAGGGTTGGGTGTACAACTCGTGTTGCCTTTCGGTGGGATGTCGATAGAAATGCATTCGTGGTTAGTCATTTCAACAATATACACAATCATGATCTGCACTCAAAGGAGCATGCGCAGTTTTTGAGGTCTAACAAAAGTGTTAGTGAGGCTGAAGTTCTGATGGTTGAAGCCAATGCGGATCCTGGTGTTAATTTGAGCTCTTCTTACAAGCTACTTGCTATGTGTGCTGGTGGTTACGAAAATCTTAACTTCTCGAAGAATGACCAAAAGAACCATCTGAACAAGAAAAGATAGAAGAACATGGCACATGGTGAAGCAACTTTTTTGTTAGAGTACTTTCAGAAGCAAATGGAAATCAAACCTGGATTTTATTATTCCGTGGAAGTTGATTGTGATGAGCAAGTTGCTAACATGTTCTGGTCGGATGCCCAGATGCGGGCTGATTATAAATTGTTTGGTGACTCCATCTCTTTCGACACAACTTACTGTACGAACAAAGTCTATCGCCCATTGGGTACAGATATTCTTCTGTTGTTTGCATATAACTTTCTATTCAAGTACACTTTGTGATAGTTATGATAACTTGAATACTCGTCCGAATTTTTTGAATACTAGTTTGGAATCTATGAATATTACCATGGACGGTGACAATAATGAAATTTTCAAAATGTGTTATGTAGGAATGTTTGTTGGTTTCAACCACCACTGACAGACTTGCATATTTGGGGCGTGTTTGTTGTATGACGAGACTAGTGCATCTTTCG